ATAACCCAAAACGGAAAAATATATAATATATGACTATGATATTTGAAATGTGCACGTAAGTTGGTCGACTTTATTAAACAAATATATTACTGCTCTGCTGCATTGTAAATGCATTGTAAACAGCGCTTTCGGAATCCATTTGCATATAACATTGCACCGTACTATGCGACCACTCCAGAGTAATTGTGTATAATATAAATGTACTAGCGTGTCCCGGCAACCCCTGTTTCGTCGGTTTCCATGTTCTGTACATCGTAAACTGACTACTGCCTACAATCTTGGTCTTTGAACCGCGTTAATAGCGGTATTAACCGTGTATGGAAACACTAAACCCAGCTTAATCTAGTATAGGCTTGGTTTAACGCTTATGGGGACGACGACTACAGTCTGTGCTTAGTGTTAAAAAATCTTGCTGTAAGTTGTTCCCATGTAAATTACTAAACACTCATATCACTATTGTGTACATTTTCTCATAGAAAAAATAACGGTACATTTACCTTTATTTTCACGATTTTTACGGACTTTCGAACTTAATACATGTACACTATACACGGGGGCACCGTGCACACCGAATTAAACCACTGACTTAACCACATGTATTGTTCAAACCTGCACATTTCCGTCAAATAATCTACATGGCGGGCGACGTAATTGTATTGCCTGTCTGTTTCCGTTTAGTTATGTGTGTACGCAATTAATTCACACATAAATGACGCGTAAGTGGTGTTGTGGTGTGTATAATTAGGTTTTATAATTAGTGTTCTAACAAGCCTGTTTTTTTCTTCCTTGGTGACGTGATCTGAAAAACAAATAGGTAAACGTCAATCACTGCGCCGAATAGTGCTTTCAATTTGTCTCCATACTTATCAACCGGAGTAACAATTTGATAAAAGTACGTCGGCCAGATCACGTCGGCCATGCTCATTCATACATGTGCGCCCTCTATCGATCAGTCTTAATCAGATGAGTTCTTTGCCTGTGTTTATGTCAATGAAATTTTCGTGATGTGTGACTACTCGCTATCACTATCAGCGGCACCGCACTTTGGATTGGATCTGAAGTCACGTACAGTTTACTTTCACGATGCCTATTATTCCCACTGGCAGGTTACGCTGTCGTCAGACAAATCAAAATATGTTTTAAATTTCCTGTGATAGCATGATGACCGCCTAGTGACTAGTTTTAATATTGTCGTTATGGATATATGTATATATATGTATATATGTATATATATATCGCTGTTATATAAATGTCATTAATATCATAGTGAGCGGCAACATCAATAAAGTACGTTTCCGGAAAACAGTCGGCAAAGTATGTGCATGTGTACCATTAGGTTGACACCAGTTGACCCGAAGCGACTAATAACTTAAGATTGTGTTCCGGTAATTATTTGTGAATAGTATTGTTTGTAGAGTTTTCAAACAAAGATATAAATATTACGACACGGCTGACAAATTAACTACATTTGTCACGTGGTAACGATGCATTGTTCAGATCTTGTTATTCATATGGTAAACACTGATTCCGAACGAGGGAGAGTCCACACCTTCACTGTAAAGTCATTCACCCGAATACGCCGTCGAAGAGAAAGCTAAACGATTCAACTACACTACTGGGTAGTCCCGATTTTTGACAATGGTGATGGCTATGACAGTCTGAATGAACTCATTTAAACCATGCGGAAGAAACCAAAAACATCGAAATCGAAGCAGGTGAGCCTGCCGCCGTTATCGGAGAAAAGGAGAGTACTGGTTAACGGCGGTCGGTCCCCGAGTCCCGTGGATGTCACACCTCCACCACGTACACCGGTATCTCGTAATGACAAACAGAGACTGAAGCTACCCAGCATAGACCGGACCAAGACCCCACCGCGGATTCCACCATCTCTATCCCCGTCACATAAACAGCGGACACGAATCAAGTCACTCCGCAAGACATGGCCAAAACACGAGCTACGCGACATCAGTTTATTACCGGTAAATAATACCACTTTCAATCATATACTGCGCGTTTTAATGTGTTGAATGTTATCGTGCACAACTGGCATACTGTGAACTGGTATTTGGGCGAGAGTGGGTTCGTGTATCAATTGTTGAAAATATTTTGAATTTCTGGAGCAGCTTATCTGACAGGTACCTATGTAAAAGACATTCTTTGCGGTGTCTGTACACAATATTTCACGTTAATAACGTGCAAAGACAAAATCGTGCTGTAAGTTACTCTCTCATCTCCCGAGTGATCGCCCTCGCCTCTTAGCAATACGCGTTTATCGCCATGGACGTCAAACTCTGAGCAAAAACTTAAAACAGAAACGTGCTCTTCTCAAGAGTTTGTATCGTAATTGCCTAGCATACATCTTTTGTATCCCAGAGCCAGTCCGAAAACGAAACAATGCTTTCTTTCTGTTTTTGTTTTTATCTGTTGTTAGTTACGTACCAATGATAGTGTATTCATTGGTGTACACGTCATACTAGTATGTGTCTGTTAGACGTCAGCTAGGGGATGGGGAGGACACAAACTGGCACAATGTCCAATTTACCACATCTTCAAAGAGAGAAAACACAATAAATTTGACATATCGTATTTGAAGCTGTGCATATACGAGTATATCTGCACCTTTTTGTCACTCAAACGACATTCATTTGGGGTTTTCGGGACGGAACAACAGAGCAGAAAACTTGGTAATTGGGATACTCCGAATTTGTTATTTCACGTGTATATTTTCACGCGAAAAACTTAGCTTGGGCGTAAATTTGGAATATTTTGGCTACTTGCTGTACTTTGCGAATGCGTCAGACGTTGGATGACACCACTTTTGTCGAGTGATATGTGAGGGTCATAGGGGTGCATGTAATTACATCCGAGACGATGTATACTTCGCTTAGTTTAGAGTATGTAATTGTAAGAGTGTCAATGTAGTAATTGTCACGAAATTAGCCAGCCAGTACAAATATTGAAATGCACAGCTTAGTACATGACTCTGAGAACTTTATAATGTAAAATGAAATACATTTACTGTCATATTACATTTTAAACATGAATGTTCGCGCTCACCAACTATAAATTGCGTCTCTGTGTGCGTGCTTACTACAGCACACGCACTGGCGAACCGTCTGTAGTACGCGCCACGTCGGCGGCTACACACTGACGCGTGATTCCTTACGAGAATGCTCACCCAATGCCGGTCATTAGACCGCGGTTGCTAACTAACAAACAAGATGGCGACTAATAGCGTAGGGTAATGTGGCATTTATCATAACATCGTTTAGGATTATGCTTTGTGTCAACATTCGTAAGAGGATCACAATATTAGTTGAAGACCTTTCCCACTCGCTTGATCCGATTAATAGTCGCCCTTCAGAAAGGATTTGTCGTTTTTCCCCCTTTTCTTTAAAATATACAATGTGGTTTTGTTACGTAGAATAAAGCATTGTTGTAAACCGAACAAGGCGTTTTTAAATTCAAACTCTAGTATACTCAGTTTGACTGTTTTCTATTACTTCTTGATGCCAATATTATATTCTAATTCACCATATCAGAGTGTATTATTTATTCATTGTTTGCATAGATTCAGATTGACCACAATAGGGGTACTTAGTAGATGTTTTCTTATCCGAGGAAAATAGGTCTGTCTCAGTTATTTTTACTCCCTTAATTGGCGGTTTGTAATTTCTGCCATTACTGAACGGTGCCGGATGCGAGTATGACCATTTGCGTTCTATATTTGTCGTCGATTATTTTCCTAGGCTGAAATGCCAACAGAAAACATACAGGTGGTTGAATTCCACCTAGGCTCGACACACAGAATGACAATATGATTGTCCTTGTTGCTAATTTGTCTCGGTCAACCTCAGACAGAGTTTTTTTTTTTGCAGAACATGCACCGACACATTACTACTGAATGCCCTCGAGCTTGGGACTGGAGGAGGGCGGGGGTCGAATTAGATCTGCAAATCGTGTATCTGATTTTAACCTCCGGGCCTCACAATCGGTGTCGTACGTGCTCCGAAAGTTAATACACACATGGAGCTAAAATATATATTTAGCTCTATGATACACATAAGAAAGACTGCGTTTGTAGGCTTAGATGAAATCTGATTTTGATCAC